AGGCTAAAGGTCTAGAGATAATATTTCTGTGAGTCTGGCATATCTCACCTAATATTGTCCACATAGTACAATACATCCAGGATGTCAAAAGTTAAGCCAGTCAAGGGTAACGTTTTTGTAAAATGTTGAAAGTCAGTAACACTAGAAATGTATTTTAACAATGATCAAAACGGAATGAAGTCGGTAAAAGGCGACTTTTTTTCCCTCAGGTTTTATCCCACTGGAACACTATAAAAGGACCAAAAGGAATCTCTGAAGACAGAAAAGCATAAACAGCCACATGCAAGTTTCACCTCTGACCCCACTGATGAAAGCGTGTTCCCTGCTGTTATATAACTTCAGTTTCCTTCAACTCCAAGTATCTTAATTACTTTACTTTCAGATTTAGAACAGTAGTATCATAGGAGAGAAAATTTAGTTCTTATATAGAATGTCTTAGCTTGGACCCTCTGTAATGAAAGGCATATTAATATGAGAAAAAAAACAAGTTTAAGAGTGTGTGTAAGTGTTATAGCTCTGGAGGGAAAGGTATCCTGGCCATTAGAAGTCAGTCGATACCTGTAACTCTGACGAGAAAGGTATCCTGACTGTTAGAAGCCAGGCTATTCCTATAGCTTGGAAGGGAAACTTATCCTGGCTGTCTGAAGCCAGGCTATATCTGTAAGTATCACAGCTCAGAAAGGAAAGGTATCCTGGCTGTCAGAAGCCAGGCTGAACTATAGCTCTGTTCTGGTGCAGGATGGTTTCCCTGCAGGCATATAGCTATCCTGCTGCTCACCCAGAGAGCCATGACAGCTCAGCTCAGCTCTGCTCTGCTCTGTTAAGGGAGTTGCCCCCAAACAGATGTAGTACTTCTGCACCTGAAAAAGTTGTTACTTCTGGGCTCCTCTCTGCTAAGGGGTGCTTCCCACCCACCCCACCCACATATTTGCTCTTGCTCTGGTGAAAGGTTGAAAGCTGTTACTTTCTGCCCCATTCCACTCCTGAGAAAGAAAGTCTTCCCCCAGAACTCATTCAAGCGATGTATTGGGAAGGAGGAATCAGAGAGTGGTTGCCGCTGCCAGGGTGGAGAAGGCAGCTCCTAGCTGAACAGACTTAGCCACTGCTCTGCCCACAGATCAATGTGTCTAGTAATTTAGTCATCCTTATTTCTCTCAGTCCTGACATAGAGACATCCTTACAAATGGCTGTTTCCTTTCTGAGTTCCCCTCTGTAAGAGAGTTACTTCCAACCTATTCTCCCTATTTCTCAAAGTAATTATTGTGCCCAAAGGGTATATTTTGGTGTGGTATATTCTGGTACCTACCTCATAAGGTGCAAACAAATGCATGTACACACACACACACACACACACACACACGCAAAACTTAGAAATTTTCTTAACAAATAACAGATGTCAATAAATGTTACTAGATATTTATTTGTAACACTTAGTATAAAAAACTTTTATGAGTATGTTTTTTGATTCATCATTCTATAAGTAGAAACCTGCTGGTGGAAGAGTCATTAAACATATGATAACTCTTCCCCAATAGACTTTCTCCTCTCTATCTGGTCACATGAGACGATTAAGCTTCCTTGCTTTCTTGAATTTGGACATGGCCACTGACTTGCTTTAGCTCACAGCCAGGAGTAACCACACATAGTTATGTAACTGAATATGGAGTTATAAAAATGTTCAGAGAGGTAATTAATTCAAACCCAAGTGTTTCTAATCGACGTTGATTGTGCTGCATCTAGAGACATCGCTGCCAACTTGGGTCAAAACACATAGCATGTAAGTTAACACTGGGCATACCATCATACCACTTAATGCCAGTTCACACTGCCTGAAACACCTCAACTAATACTCAAGATTATTTTATATCAAGAATTCCAATTGTCTTACTTTACACACAGACTCTTCTCCTCTTACAGAAGCATAATGGTTTAATTACAGAAAACAAAGACTTTTAATATTTTCCTACTTTTAGTTCCTCAGTACGCAAGCAGCAAATTGTGTATCCTTTGCTTGTATTGTACTCAAATGTTTGTTTTCTTTTTGGAATTGCTGCTTAGGTTTCTGCGTAGTTTCATTAAAAGTATCGTTAATGAATTTTGGCTTGGGATTAGAGCAGAATCTCCTATGGTTCTGCCATTGTATGTGTGTGTGACGGGTGTTTCCACTGCAAGAAGGGCTACAGGAGGAGAGGGGTTGAGACAGGGAAAGAGGCCAAGAGAAGGACTAAAATCCATTACTTGAATGTATGAAACTGTCAGAGAATAAACAATAAATGGACTATAAGGTACTGGTCCACTCTGAAATGCTGGGGATGCTCTGTAACCGGCAGAAACCAAAGTTCAGGGACGGTTTGAGTCTTTTCAGAAAGACAAACAGACATCTATGCTATTTGTATGCAACCTTACTTAAGTCAGCCCAAATAAAGGGAGAGGCGTCAGTCAGTGGGGGTTCACAGAATCTGCTCCACCTTGACTGAAGGTCAGAGAACTCACGGTTACTCTTGCTCTTTCAAAGTTATTGACAAGAAGTCTGACTTGGGGAGCAGCTACAAAAAAGATGTCCTGACCTAGTGTGTGGTTATTTGGTGTTTTGGGTATTTAAATGGCCCACAGAAGTGCATACATTATACCCTGACTACTGGTCAGGAGTTTAAGCCTATTCTTGCTCCTTCAAGGTTATTTGACAGGAAATTTAACTTTTAGGTGTGACTACTAACAAAGATATCTTGACCTAGGGTGTGGTTACTTGATGTTTGGGGTATTAAGATGGTAATCACTTCATTTGTTCCTTGTATCAAGGTTTTTCTTTTGTTTTTTTAAAAAAAGTCTTTTGCTTTCTTCCCCTTCTTTGGCTTAGGGTATTGAAAGGTCATAAGAAATAAACGAGGGCAGATTCAGTGTTCCCTGAGTTGCCCTCCCCTGTATATCTATCTCTGTTTATTCCACCTAACATTTTTAATCCACACGCCCCTACCCTGGAACATACGAACCCATTGAGGCTGGACCCTGACAGATGGCTCCCCAACGTGAGACATGACACCAGACAGTGCCTTAGAGAGCGCCACTGTCAGGCTCCATCTGTGTGTGGCTGCAGACTCTGTGACCATCAAAGCCCAGACGTCAAAACGCTTCGCAATCCCACGGGTCAGGTAGACGCTGGAAGGTTTCAGAGAACCGTTTAAGAATTTGTGAGTTTGGGAGAGCCAAGGAGGCAGGATTCGGTCCTTGCTTGCCGTATTTTTGCTTCCTATCCCAACAGGAATCAGTGCATTTGTGAAGACAGGACAATTAAGGGCCCAGTGTTATCTTTTGTGGCAGTCCAAGATCTTCAAGCGGTGGTGATGAGGCGAGGCCTAGACTTGGCCACAGTTAAAGTTATGAACCCTGACTGAGAAAGTGAGGAGTCCCTGACATGAGGAAAACGTCACAGCCAATGAGGGGACGCCAGTTCCGCAGATGGCACCAAGCTCTTCAAGTCCTTATGAGGGAGGGTTCCTTTACTCTTAAAACTCTCGGTTCTAGCTGGTCACTAGGGGGCACCAGGCTCAGACTGCACCAAACTGAAAAGGATGTGGCATGTAACAGGTATTAGAACTAGGTGTGTGGAGAGATGTTGTAAATGGCACCACTGGGACCTTGGGGTGTCCCATGGCAGCTGAGGACTGCAGTGGATGGCAAAAACACCCTGCAGACAGAGCTTGAATGTGGCGTTTATTTGAAATTAAGGGAATGGGAAGGGAAGAGAGAACTGGAGAGAGAGAGAGAGAGAGAGAGAGAGAGAGAGAGAGAGAGAGAGAGAGAG